CTGGCAAAATCAGGGAGGCTAGGGGGAGCGCCGAGGTGGTCACCTCGGTAAGGGCAGACGGTTGCCTGTCGGAAGGGCCCTCGCGGCGGCGGGAGGTCTGTAGCCGCTGGGGGGCTCGTCGCATTCCCCAGGCCGATCCCCGACATCACCAGCTACGATCCAGAAAAGGAGTAACAGGGTTATGCCTACCCTTAAGGGCATCTGCGCTACACTACAGTCCTCCCTCCTCCCCCTCCTCCCTTCTCCCAGTCCTTGCCCCTGCCTTCATAATGTTTCTGTTTCGGTTCACTTCTCACACGTTACGCGGTCCCATATGGAGCCCCACCTAAGGTCCCAGTGGCGCAGTTTGCATGGCGCCGCCGCCCCATTTTGGCACACCCCTCACGAGGATCGTGTTCGCATGGTGGCCTCGGGCCATTTCGGCACACCCCTCACGAGGATCGTGGCCCCACAGGGAGCTCCACCGAAGGCGCCAGCAGCAGGGTTCGCATGGCGGCCTCGGGCCGTTTCGGCACACCCCTCACGAGGACCGTGGCCCCATAGGGAGCTCCACCGAAGGCCCCCATGGGCAGGGTTCGCATGGCGGCCTCGGGCCGTTTCGGCACACCCGTCACGAGGATCGTGGCCCCACAGGGAGCTTCACCGAAGGCCTCCATGGGCAGGGTTCGCATAGTAGCCTCGGGCCATTTCGGCACACCCCTCACGAGGATCGTGGCCCCATAAGGGAGCTCCACCGAAGGCCCCAGCGGCAGGGTTCGCATGGCGGCCTCGGGCCATTTCGGCACACCCCTCACGAGGATCGTGGCCCCATAAGGGAGCTCCACCGAAGGCCCCCATGGGCAGGGTTCGCATGGCGGCCTCGGGCCGTTTCGGCACATCCCTCACGAGGATCGTGGCCCCACAGGGAGCTTCACCGAAGGCCTCCATGTGCAGGGTTCGCATGGTAACCTCGGGCCATTTCGGCACACCCCTCACGAGGATCGTGGCCCCATAAGGGAGCTCCACCGAAGGCGCCAGCGGCAGACTTTGCATGGCGGCCTCGGGCCATTTCGGCACACCCCTCACGAGGATCGTGGCGCCATAGAGAGCTCCACCGAAGGCGCCAGTGGCAGGGTTCGCATGGCGGCCTCGGGCCATTTCGGCACACCCCTCACGAGGATCGTGGCCCCATAGGGAGCTCCACCGAGGGCCCCAGCGGCAGGGTTCGCATAGCGGCCTCGGGCCATTTCGGCACACCCGTCACGAGGATCGTGGCCCCATAGAGAGCTCCACCGAAGGCGCCAGCAGCAGGGTTAGCATGGCGGCCTCGGGCCGTTTCGGCACACCCCTCACGAGGACCGTGGCCCCATAAGGGAGCTCCACCGAAGGCGCCATTGGCAGGGTTCGCATGGCTGCCCCGGGCCATTGCGGCACACCCCTCATGTGATGCTTCAACAACCGCGCCTGGGCGTCGCACTCCGCCTTGTCGACGTGCAACGCCACCTCCTCCCTCATGGCTCTCAAGGGCCTCTCCTGCTTCTGCTCCTCGGTGAGAGGGACGCCGTCCTTGTCGTCGTCGGCGCCCGCGAAAACGGCCACGAACGTGTTCCTGAGCATGTCGGGCTCTGGCGGGAAGCCGTGGCCACATAGGGAGCGCGGGGGAAGATGGTATTCACAATTGCGGTATTCATAACTGCATGTGGTTGGGTCCTTCGCCAGGCTAATTTTTTGGTCCCCCCAGACTTGCGCGCGCTCGGCGCGCGGCACCGGGAGGTCGGGCTGCGAAGGCCTTGCGGCTGGCACCGCCGACCCTGCAGGCGGGTTTTCTCCGGAACCTCCTCTGGTGACCCTTCCTGGGACCCGCCGGGATCCTGGGGGCGCGGCGTTCTGATCCGGGACGCACCCCCCCACCCACCCCGTGTACCCCCCCGTGCCCCCCCTGGCAGGGAAGGGGGATGAAAGGAAGGAGCTTTGGTTCAACTCAACTACGACGTTCTTCCCCTTGTTCCGCAATTTCCTTGGGACTGACGACGACGACAGCTTCTTCCACCCGCCGAGTGGTCGGCGGATTTGCACCTGCCTTGGCCGGCCTGGACGAGAGCCGGATACGCTCGTGACCGCGGGCCGCGCGCCTTTCTGTCCTCTCATGTCACGTCGGCCCTCGGCCCTCGGCCCTTGTGTGGCCGTTTGCCCTGGCCTTCGGCGTGTGTATCCAGCGATCGGCTTCCACACACCCCACACGTGAATTCATATGGTGATGTAGTTTTTCTGTGCAAATGCGTTGTTCGAACGTCTACCCGCGAGATTATCCAGAGCAGTCTTTTGATCGCTCTTCGATCGTGGTTGACGCGGATCGAGCTTTCTCACTGCTCCAGGGTGGAGCCTCCGTGCTCCTCCACAAGGGAGCACCAGTTGCCGATGTGCGGGTGCCCCACCGTTCTCGATTGTTCTGCCCCGCGCCGTCGTCATTACTCTCTGCTCCTTCGCACTTCGCGCCGATGTCCAGGTTCATGCAAGTCGAGCAGGGGGGGTGCAGGCAAGAAGGTTCGGAACATGT